CCCCCCCCCCCCCCCCGATCGCTAACATAAAAGCAGGCAGATTCTGAGTGAATCATTCGGATGAAAACTACATTTACGTTTGATTTAGTTAAGAGAATTAGAGAGGTGAATAAAGGCTGAAAGGATCAGAGTAACATGACTCTGACAATACATGAAGCAAATACATGTCCTTGTAGAGTACTTAGTACTTGTTGTATCTCCAATCCCACAAACACACAAAGAACAATGCATGTCTTATTTTACATTCTTGACTCCCACTGCTCCTCAGTCCGAAGTATTTGCGATGAGCGAGACAGTCGACAAAGATGTACAGTATCTCTCTCGCATGCATCAGTGCCACTGAGACTTCTGTGTGTCCTCTCCCACTTCCTGTGTGATCTGCCCTTGCGTTCACACATTTTTTATAGACCCGGAGTGTTCAAACAGTTTGCTGAGCACCTTTCAGCTGTAACTTTCAGTGCTCTAAATCCCACTTCTGGCCTGTGTGGACAAGTATTGTGAGAGGAGCAGGAAGGCTGCATAGCTGAGGCAGGTCCATGCCTGCTGATCCCAGATTGCATCAGTGGCGGGGCCGGAGCAGAAAGTGAGCACCCTGAACCCGATGGAGTGCTGCAGAGATGACGTGTTTTTTTTTGTTTTTCTGTAGGCCGACCCTGAAGTTCAGCATCGCACTGGTTCCCTCGACTAAAAGGAGAATGGGTGTTTGCACTGGATTTAACAATCAGCTTTGTGGTATTCTTTAGTTTGATACTTCAATGTTTTGTTCAGACAGATAAAGTTCTAAAGTGTGACTACAATCGGCAGAAGTAAAAAGCTAACGTTATAGGCTATAAACAAACTTGACGTGAACGAGGCAACGAGGCTGTAAAGGCGGACTTGTCGGCGTTTTTGTAGTCTCATTTAGCCACCTGTTAGCCACCTGTTAGCCACCTGTTAGCACACCTTGTTGAAGAAATGTAAAAGCTTAAAAATGTACAGATAAATGTTTGAATCTTTTAATCTTGTGTTAGCCACAGACTTTTTTTTTTTTGAACCAAAAGCCCGTTGAGTTAACCAGAAGGTCAAAGATGCTGACTCATTCCTGCAGCACTCTATACCTTCATAACCGGCTTAGGGTAAAAAACAGACAGTTACTCTGTTATTGAAATACCCTGTGCATTAGCAACAGCATATTGTCCATAAGCCATCAGCTAAATGACGGCCTAATGGTTGCGTTAATGTGTTTCTCCCATGCTTGTAAATATTGTTGATGATTCACTGTCAGCGATGTGAGCAAACGACTCCGCGGCTCCCCGATAAACGAGAAAGTGATCCGGCTCGAATTAACGATCGTATCATGCAAATAGGCAGCGCTTCTCCCCGTCCCCGATGTGCAACCCCAATTCCCAGCATGCAACATCCATAATAAGCAAACATTCACTTTATTTTTTTTTAATAGGATATCTCACCAGGTTCCATTTGACATGCACAGCCATTCACTCCAAACAAGTGTCACGACTTCTAATAGCTCTCTTTGTTGCAAAAGCTTGGGCTTCCCCGCGGGGAATTAAAGAACATTCATTAGATTAATTTCCCTTAATGGTGATGATGGAAGTGGAGCAGCGTGATGGCTGTTTCACATTCATGCTTCAATCTCATTTATTTTGCTAAAAAAGACGACGGGGATTTGAGGGACAGGCCCACAGTGAGATGTGACTCCTCAGCTGGAGAACGCTGGCTGCTTGGCTTCTCTCTTTCGTGCTCCTACATTGTTTGTTTTATGCAGATCCATTAGAAGATTGAGGCCGTTTGACGAGAGCCTTGAAACCTTTCTGTGTCGCGGCAGCACATCGCCATGAAACCACTTTTTGCGTAATGGGTGTCGTTCAGCCGGTCACGTCGAGGCCACTTTCCATTGCTGAGCATCACTTTACTGGTGCAGATGGATTGAAGAGGGCTTTTAAGGGTCGCTTCGTCGTTTGCATCCACCGGGGAGTGACTGCATTACATGTTCAAGTGTTTGTCGTTCCCCCCCTTATGCCCACTGGAGTTGACAAGCACCCGTATACCGAGTGAGATGTGACACTGTCAGAGGGGCAAAATGAAAAATAACAGAGGTGGAACTATCCGTAAACAGCCAGAAGGGGAGGAGTCCTTAAACTCTAGGTTAATGGACAGTCCGAGAGAGGGAGAGTGCTGATTGGTGGAGCCATCCGGGAATGCAGGAGAGGTAAATATTTAGCATTCCTCAGATGACTCCAGCATTGAGCCTCAGCGTTTTCGTGAACATGTGTGAACATGTGTATGTGGACGTGCTCTTTTAGAGTAAAAAGTGGTTTCCGGTTGTTTTTTGCATCCAGGTGTTCTTGAGACTTCTTGGCGTGTGTGTGTGTGTGTTTGTGCTTGTGTCCTTTCCAGCATATTTGTGTGTGTGTGTGTATAAACCCTCTCGCAGCGCTCAGAGGGGGATTCGTGAAGGCCCCTCTTAACTCAGCCGATCAAAATGTGCCTTGTGTTATTAGAGCGCATTACAGGGCCTCGTTGAGCTCGACAGATAGACATCCTCACTGACTTTCATCACCTGGAAAGTCCTGGAAAGCAAGGGGGGGGGGGGGGGGGGGGGGGGGGG